ACAAGAAGTTTCGGGTTCAGTCTACATTCTTGTTGGAAGTTTCGGGTTCAGTCTACATCATAAAGAACAAGAAGTTTCGGGTTCAGTCTACATTCATAAAGAACAAGAAACGTTTTCGAAATACTATAGATCAATTGCCTTAACTATAGGTAATATTGAAAATCATGTACATATTCTCAAATATTTGGAGTGGACTCTTGGAATTTCGTACCTAGCCAGTTTTTCTATAAATTTATAGATGTAGCCGTTACTACGTGGTACGAAATCATAATGAAGAAAAGAGAATTGAAACTCAAATCATCTATAGTCTAACTTTATTTGTGAAATTTTAAAACAACAATAAAAATGAATTGACGCTCCGGACTTCATTGATTCCAGTGGCGCATTTGCTTTTTCAGCTGCAGGAAAACCCGGAAAAACCTGCAGCACCACATCATCTGAAGATCTTGATCTAACAATGTCCCCTCTCTTATAAAACAAAATGTAGGGTTTCTCCAGAGGCTCCAATAAATTGAAAATTTCTGTTTTTTACCACTTTTAATTGTAACTAACGTTACTGCAGTTTCGTCCTATAAGGACAGTTTCAAACCTCTTATAGGACGAAACTGCAGTAACGTCAGTTACAAATAAAAGTGGTAAAAACCAGAAAGTTTCAATTCTCTTTTCTCCACTAGTTTTTCTACTTTGAATGGAAGGGGTCTGGAAAATTATCCTGGGAAACATTCATTCCAAAGGCAACCTGTCTTGCTTGAGCTCTAGGCTGACCTGTAGTTGGTAGAAAAAGCCCTCCAGAGCTGTGTCTGCATCTAACTTCAATAATCAAGATGCTCTGGAATATTTCGGTGTTGAAAACCTTATTCATAAAGGTTTTGACAACTTCATGTAGTAGTTAAGGATCCAATTTCATCTCGGTTCCCATTATTGATTACCATATTGACGAAAATTAATGCATTTGAATTAGCTAACGGGTTTGAGTCGCATATTATTAGAAATGTTCTCAATCAGCTTATAGAGTTTCATTATTTAGAAGATATTCAACATAAATAATGCATCAGCTTTTGTGCACAATGTTAGCTCATGATGATTTGATTTTTTCCTGTGTGAATCATTTATCTAGTGAACCCTTTATTTGTAAATAAGTGGAACAAAAATGATTCATTCTTATACTTCGGTACGTCTCTGTGATTGTGAAATAGGATAATTACGTTACAATTATGATTATATTTATCGACCTATTTACTGTGAATTGATCAATATATTTTCAGGAATATCTATTTCCAATTATGTTGGAGTAATTTTAGATTTGTTGACAGTGAATTGGAGCGTGAATCAATTAGTCTAGATTGTATTTTTTCTGAACTGGGTTCATTTCATGATATCCATGCCAGAAACATTATAAACACTGATATTCATGAGAATGATAAAATGAAATTGGATTTAATTGGACCCTATATAACTTACCCTATATAACTTAACTCATTATCGAAGTAAAAAGTCAAAAATATAAATCGATCTTCAAAAAGATACACTTCTAAGCCGGATCTAGTCCCCATGGATCATTAAAATGAGGTCGTAAAATAAAATCAATGTGATTTGTCTAGTTTATGAAAACGCTCTCTATTATAACAAATACATGCATTCCAGATTAGTAGTGCAACCAATATACTGCAGCATTTTATCTAATCTATCCCATTTGACGACAACAACAAAAAATTAGGTGAATCATCAGAAGTGTCGAAAAACTATTTTATCTGGAGATGAGTCGAAAGTAAACTTCATTAGTCACCAGGGAGCGTTTATGTGAAATAACATAATACGGTTAGGGTAGACGGAGGATATTTATGTGGGGCTGTGGGTAGATAACTGATTTATCCAATAAATATGGACTAATCGACTGGTGTAATGCTGTTGACGTTTGTTTGGCCTTTTATCGAAATAAATTATGGCTCTATACGATTGTTAGGGACTGAGGGGTTCGTAACATCCGTCATGTGATGATAGTATTTTGATAATCTGTGCCACAGCTGAATTGGAAATACGAACATGCCAAAAATTGCTGATTTACTCATTCACCTGATAACACCGAGAAAGATCAACAGTCCGAAGTTAGGTCAACATATTAGTTAATCAAGTTGGTTAATTTAAAGATTATAAGTGCAGTGCAGGTTACTCAACTATAAGAAACCTGCGGCAGTCGGTGATTCATCATATCGTTATTTATTTTCCACTGATAACTGTTTTGTGTACTCTCTCGTGCATTTCGGCACAAATGTGTTCCCGATTTAGAACACGAGTTGAGATAATCACGGTGAAAGTCGATCCAATTTTTCATTCATGAGCGAATCTTCTGTTTTCTATTTCAAAACATCCCATTCAGATACCATAACTGGCCATGAATATGGTAAAAATGAATTCCCACTCAGATCGTTAATGCAAATCATTCGATTAAACTCAACGTTGATCAATAAATAATGAATTAGTTCTAACCTTTTTGATGAGTTCGAGAATGACTTATGAAATTTTCATAATCACAATCTCAATGTTGAGTTGAAAAATGTGTTACGAAATTAACAATTGATCTGTTGCGTATAGCACTGAATCAAATAAATCAAAGTGTACAATTTCCTTTTTGACAGATCAGCTGATGGTTTTCAATATTTACATAATATTGTGACTGGACTTTGATCGTTTTTCATGGCCACAACCGCGAAGAGTTTGCAGTAGTACCCTGTTATTTATATTATAAAAATGTTGTTTAATAATAACAGAAATGAAAATAAATTTACATTTTTGTATTATATTCGTGTAGGTAAGATCTAAGTATACAATTACTGCCACACCATTTCATAAATACAAAATAAAAGACTATATACACACACATCAGGAGGAATTTTCCAATCTCAGGCCTATCAGTATATTTGCAATGTCAAAAATTGTGGAAAAGGCCATTCATCGGCAAAAAATTCCTATTTGTCAAACTGAAGCCAAAAAGTACTCATAAACAATAGTGTGTCAACTAGTTGTAATGTAATTTCAGGCGTACCGCAAGGTTCGATATTGGGGCCATTGCTCTTTATTATATACAAGTGATATATTAACCTCGGTGAAGTACTGCAAAATACATACAGGCTTATACAGTTGATACCCAAATATATCCAAGTTTAAATTCAAAAAATTGTCTATCAATTCAAAATCATATCAAAAGTGATCTCGGATTAATAAATCGCCTAGCAGCTGAGCCATAAGTTACAACTCGATTATAATGAGTGTCATTCGATACTATTTGGCAATAAACATATTGGAAGGAATCTGTCAAAAAACATCGAGATACGACGTTATCAATAGTTGAATCTACAAAAAAAATTAGGTATAATTTTTGATTCTGATTTGATATGATATGGCATAGTAAAACTGTTGAAGATCTGAGTAATAAGATAATCAGAGATATTAATGTAATCATTATTTTTATTTTATTTATATTTTACATAATTGTGTGTATTTTGCCTGAATTTTATTTTCTGTACGTGTATATTCTACTTCGTACTGAGAAAATTCGACCATGTCTTCAATAATATCGCGGAATTGAAATGGTTGACAATTTCCAACCGCAGCTAATACCTAGGTAGATTCTTCATTCATTAGATGTAAGAAATAAATATCATTTTCATGTATCACATCATTCAGAAATCTTTCACCGATTTAGTCGTCAAAATGTACAATTCATTCCTCATCAATTGACTTCATTTATCTGAATATCAATTTAAACGCCATTTCAAAATCAAAAATCAAGACAGAATAAATTACAAAATAAAAATGATTTACTATTTTATAGATTTTGATAATTGTACAACTTAGGTTAAGAGTAAGAATAGCCTTAGGCTAAACGTCGCCTATTTATTGTACAGAAAGAAAATAAAGTCGATTCATTATTATTATAAGACGATCCAATTTTTTCAAAGCAACAACGTCATATTTCAGTATGCTCGTGGTTATATTTTATTTCGGTGGTCACTTCCCAACAAAATTAGATCAACCCCGCCTATGAAAGGCCAACATTAGTTTTAAAATAAACCAAAGCATCAGGATACAGATTTAGTCTGGCTATGAGTCATAGTTTCCCTGTTGCTCTTTACAGCTGCTAAACAGCAATATTCGTCATCTGGGTCATCATTTTAACAGCAACCCCATTTGAAATATTTTTAGAGACAACCTGGGACCTTATGCAACCAGTTATTTCCATTCCTTTTCATTCCGCTCGATACGGTGTTTGGAGTTGTTTGTTTCATTGTAACTGCGTCGTTTTGGTTGCCTAGATACTGGCAAAAATTATGTAATTCAGCTTTGGTTAGGAGTTTGTTCCGCGTATTTTGAAGAGATATATTATTATTTCAATCGCTATTTTTGTCGTAGGTGGAACTCGAATTAGTTTCACAGCGGTTATTAATTGGATATGCTGAACGCTTAGCACAGAGAAGAGAGAGAAAAATAAAGGAGAATGGAAGCATTTTCAGGGATAAATATTCGGTTTTGCTTTCTTTGAATGTTTTTTTTTTCTACAAATATTGAAGGGGAGTTCTTATGCAACAAATTTTGTACTGCTTTATGATTTATTTTTTGCCTCGAAATGGGCCTCACTTTCAGCAATATCCTCTTCATTCGAGAGAAATTTCTTACCAGTCAGAATTTTTTTGAGGTTTACGAACAGCCAGTAGTCACTGGGAGCCAGATCTGGCAAATATGGTATATGCGGGAGTAAGCTATCTCCTAGATATTGGGAAGTCTGTCCTATATATTACTTCATTGCAGTCTGGTTCATTACAAGGAATTTCATATGCATGTGTTTTCTTTGGGAAAGACCAGATTCATTGGTCAAGAGATGAATGTATTATTAAATTCTATATTTTTCAATTTCAATCTTTATATTCAGATTGAATCACTATTAGAACATACTGCAGTTTGGTAGTAATTGAAATGCTAATAAATATTTTTTTCATTTGCAGAAGAAGCCAGAAAGAGTGGTTCAAGGGTGCTAGTCCATTGTCAAGCTGGAGTCTCTCGTAGTGCCACCATAGCGATAGCCTACATAATGAAGTTCAACCAGATGTCAATGGTGGAAGCTTACAAAAAAGTGAAAGAAGCGCGACCTATAATATCACCAAATTTGAACTTCATGGGACAACTGTTAGAGTTAGAACAAAGTTTACGTAGTGATAGTAGTAATAGTAATCATGCCTGTCTCTGGAGTCAACAAGCTACAGATGAAGTGACACACGGATGCAGTGTGTAATGAATATTCGAAAGACATTGAAAATTTTCAGTTTTTGTATGGACAGAAATAGTCAGCGGCTCGCCATAGAGTTACATTCTAGTCTTATCTGTTTGGTTAAATGGCTGTGTACCATTAAAGATATTTCACATTAAAAATACATGTATACAGTAAACCTTATTGTTTCGTGGTGTATTTGGCTGAATTTTGAAGCAGCTTCCTGATTCGGTTAGCCTGTGTAGTAGAAATACTTGTGTGAAGAATATTTGTAAAGCTGTAAACCACCTAATTTGGCAGCAGTTTGTACAATGTATGATTTTTTATTTATTTGAGTATCCTAGTTTATTTTGTAAACATATTGTTACAGGTATAATCCGAATATTTATCGGTATTAGAAAGCCATATTTAATGTTTAATTTAAGTTTGTTCAATCTTAGTCAGTGTTTTTAAAGGATTTTACATGTTCAGTTAATGAGTAACCAAGAATCTATATTTTTGATGAGGCGTTTAGGGAAATGACAGTAATCCATTTTTAATGTGTATTTTAAGTTTTTTCAATCTTAATCTGAAAAATTTTAAACGTTCAGTTGTCAGCAACCAAGAATTTTTAATTGAAGATATTGGGAAGTGTCTCTTGATATCCATATTCCATGTTAAGTTTGATCAATCTTAGTCGTCAGTGTTTTTAAAGAATTTTTAATGTTCAGGGATCGTCGATTTTTATTTTAGAGAAATGACACTCAATATTCATTAGTATTTATTGTTTATCGTAGGAATGTTGAATTTTAGCCAATGTATTTCAAAAATTGTAAATTTTCAGTTAAAGAAAGATATCTTTGATCTATTGGAAGATGTTCTTGAAAATGACACCCAGTATACATTTTAATGATTCAGTTTGATCAATCTTAGTCATCAGTATTTTTTTTTCAGAATTGAATGTTCAGTTAAAACAGCGTATGGATTTATTTTTATTGAAAAAACAAATTTTGAGTTTCAATTCAATTTTAATCGGTGTTTTTAAAAAATGTTTGCTCATTTATGAGTAACCAAGAATCTATTTTTATTTTAAAGGCAATTTAGGGAAATGACACTTAATATCCAGGGTTTTGATAATTATAATTGTGATTTTATTAGTTTTTAAGTTACTTTTAGTAAAATGCAGGTACAAAAGGTACAAGTGGAAAATCTCTTGTAGCAGAAATACCAGTTTACAAACACCTACCTTCCACTATGTATCCTTAAATGATAGTAACCTATCATAACAAGTGCCTTCACATTTACTTGTAAAGTATGTATAGAGTTCAGACTGTAAAATACAAAGCCTCATATATCAAGATTTCATTTGTAAATACATAAATGTTATGATACCCCTGTCTTTTACTTAAAACCCACTAAACACTTATTCACTACGAAACGATGAAAATAATTAACGATTATTCATTGCTACACTTTCAGTTCTTTTCGACTTGACCGAAAAAAGTAAAAAAGAAAAAAAAAAGTAGGAATCTTCCAAAGAAAAAGAAAAACAACGTGTTGATATTGAAGCCCAGGGCTTGAAGATTTTCGTGGTTCTCATAGTTTCTTGTATTGCCATGGCATCAACGGGAAGCCATAACAGAAACTCCATGAGCTCGTCCATGCGGCCTGTAACGCCATTGACATTCCAAGATCCTATCGGAATGAGTGGGACGACTAGAATGTGTCAGTTTCTCATTGCTACATTGATGACATTTTAAAATCTCCTCAAGAAGATTTAAATGGAGTGTTTGTGAGTAGTGTTTTTGTACCAACGATAGGTGGAGGAGCACATTGATTCCATCCTCAATTTATCAGTAGCTGTGAAAGCGGGTATTATCAGGTAATTTTTTTTTATTCCAAGAAAGAATCTAGAACTTGAGTTCTGGATTCTTTGAATCCTAACTTCATCACGATCCAAAAGCGCTGGACCATAATTACAGTCACAATAGGCCAATTTTGACATTATGAGAGGTTCACAAAGCATCCTTCTGAATTGGGTATTACCCCATCGTTAATCACAAGATTACTGTGTTGAATAAATGAATTTCTTTGACTTTGGTCCGAAAATAACGATTTTTGATTTTGAAGCATTCATCGTGGTATATAGGTTTTCACGGCCGGTGTCGTAACATATTATTCTATGTTTCTGGGTTCATTATCCGTGATCTGCAGGTTTTTATACCTGACTTGTCGATGCAGCAACGGTCGAAGCGATCTACCTTACTGCGATCTTGCGCCTTTGATGTCTGCCGCATTAGCAGACGAAACGTCAGGTACGAAAACCTGCAGACTACGTCTAATAGGCCTGTTGTTCAGTTTGAGGTTATGAGCCGAAGATATTTCGAACAATTTTGATAATTCCCAGTTGACTATTTTTATTATAAGCCTGCTACATGCGTTCAAAATCAAAGCTAAAGTAAATTTGTGTGTCATCAGCACACTAATGGATGATACCGTCATTTACATATTTCTAAAGTCAGGAATATAGACCGTAAATAGAAATGAGGCAAGAATTGACCACTGACGAACTCCAAATTCGCGATTTGGTCTACTGGATCGTAGTGTTCCAACATCTACATACTGAGCACGATGAATCAACTCCATAATAAATTTACTGCAGAGTCATCCAACCCATATATCCAATTTCTTCTTCAAAAGGTGGTAATCTAACGTATCAAAGGTTTTGCTGTAACGTATTGAAAAAACACTTTATTGTGAGATGTTCACAGGTTTACAAAAACTCATCACGTTTCACCATACAATGGCTTCTTCGGGCGTGTCTTCACTACCTGCTGTAGTCGAGGAGGATTAATGTTGTTAGCTGACCATGGTAAAAGTATATTCACTATGATTCAATGAAGAATAAAATTTATTTAGTACTGAAGAACCAGTTTCATCATCTAATAGGCAGAACTGAAAAATGAAATCCGATGAAAACACTTTTTTCCTATATTTCCGATGTTTTGGTGAAGATATTTCATTAGAATCAATTTCTCTAACTTAAAAAATAGTCGAAAGTCATGTACTGAACTCAAATCTAGAAGTTTCCTATGAATAGTTGATGCAATGTCCAATGGTTAAGGTTCTAGGTACACTTTGATAGTGTATCTTTCAACAGTACACTTTAATAGTACCTTGTTTAAACACTTTCAAAATATCTGAAATGAACGATCCAATATTTGGGCAGGTGGAATAAAGTTTCTGGCATAGGGGGCTGATCCATCGAGAGAAAGAATGTATTTTGCGCGCAAACACGTAGAATTATTCAAAGAACTTTGCTAACTCTACCTGCACTCTATATTTTTGAAATATGCACCCATATTTTTTGGGAATACAGATGGTTTCATTAAAACGTTTCCAGTTCATTAATTTGTCTGATTACATGATCGGTTATTGGGAGAGAGGGTAGGTTCTTGCAAGGATTGAGTTGAAAATGAATGTTTTTGCCCTCGAAACTTCCAATTCATATATAGAACTGGAAAGCAAAAAGATTTTTTGCCAAAAAGAATATCAATAAATTGTCTCTCGGTGATGACTGAATAATGAAATTCTCCATGAAACTTATCAACCACCTTCAAACAAACGCTGGACATTTATTGCTGCAAAACTCTATTTTGGTAGCCTGTCTTCCAAAAATACGAAATATCTATCACAACATACGAAAAGTTTCCGCACTCATATACTCTGTGATAATTTCAAATTAAATTGGAGTATCTTCACTTGAATATTTGCTATATAAAATTATAGTCTCTATTACATACTCGGAGATGCTCAAGATTTCTATAAGGAATAACCGAACGCGCTATTCCGGTAGTCAACAAGTAGTGACATCTATGATTCATATATACATATAAAATGTATTCACTGTCATAGAGTGACCTCTGTAATCTCTAATACTATTTGAAAATTGAAAATATAATAACCAAATTCGAAAAATCAAATGATTTCAAAACTTTTCGAACAGCTACTGCATGTAAAATTTTAAACTATTGTGAATATAAACCTAGAAATAAAATTGAACTACAGATTTGACTATGATCATCCAGGCGAATTATTTTTAACTTTGAACATTAAAAACAATGACATTTTTTTAATTTCAGTCATGTCTGTAGAAAAAGTGGCTATTATGATTTTTACCTCATTGAATAATGTTTACTACCTTGGTCTCTAAATATATGTGTTGATTATAGGTGACAGAAACGAAAACAACTCACAAAGAAACATCTTTTATAATGCCCAACGTGTTACCTATATGAGATGAAATCATAAAAGGCGAAGTACATTTACTCACTTCTACATCTAATTAGGTAACATTCTTTTATACACTATTGAGATACATAATTTTTTATGCCATTGTAAAAATTTATAATATCAACACAAAAACAACGATAAATATAAGAACAACAAATATATCAACAGTCTTTCTAAAGCTACCATTCTGCGTCACCATTTGCCTTCGTGAAAATGAAATCTTTCCCTTTTAAATTCATTATGCCATCTTTCAAATGAAATCTCCATCGGTTCCTACTCCTTGTTATCTGTGAACAGGTTAACCAGTTAGAATTATTCTCTGGAGAAGAAAACCAAAATCATGAAACTTTTCCAAAACATATGTTGCTCAGTATTTAGCAGCTTATATATTGCTTTGATTTGAGTCAAGCACATAGAGATTAATAAACTAACATACAAGTCATTAACTTGGGCATACATATAGTTTACTCACCTACCTTATCAAATTGGCATACTATCACATTTTCAGTATCGAATGATTCTTCTGTTCCATCAGCATCCGACACATCATCCCCAGAATTCAGAGGGTCGTCTTCCGCTCTGCTAGCACAGTCTTCTTCCATTTCATCTCCTTCCTCATCATCCTCATTGTCATTATCGGAGGCAACTTCAGATGTATCTTCGTCCTCATCAAAAGAATCCGCAGGTCCATCTCTCTGAGGAATATTTCGAGATCTGTTCTGAAACTGATCATTTCTTGAGGCATCCGTTAACATAGATGGGTTCATATTCATATTATTCAAGTTACTAAAAAAGGTTTGCTGGTGTTTGAGAAATGCAGCATTAACATGATCTTGTAGAAATGCACAAGCGGTTGCTAGTGGAAGCCCCATTGTTGTACCTATCACTTCTCCTGTCAGAATAGACTTCAAGTGGTGACTATGAAGAAATACTTCTGGAACGTCTATCGACAAAATTCTGTTGCCTTCGCCAGTTGCTGATGGAATCGTTAGTTGAATTGGAAGCCTTCTCCACTCTGGAAACATTTGCCCCATAGGACCTAGAAAGATGCTCTTTTTGAGTGACAATTATATTTTACTCTTGAAAATTATTTTGTTTCCTCCCCTTTGAGAAGTTGTTTGATCATACTATCATGGTGATCAACTCAAAAGGGGGAAGATTAATTACCCTCAATAAAACTTTGTAAACTGCTTGCAGTTCGTTATGAAACATCAATTTATTTGTGATACCCGTTTAAAAGATTTCGCCAAATTATTCTCCACGCTTCAACTTATAGTACCCAATGTTTTTATGAAATAATGATTTACAACACTTATTTCCCTAAGCTTTCGAACGTCAACAAGTTACAATGTCTGAAGGCATTTATTAGCATTAATAAATCTCAATTTCTCATGTATAATTTATAGGTTAAATAAGTGATGGTGAATAAAAGTTTTTCAGAACAATATTTCATTTATAGGTCTCAAAACCATTGGGTTTCAGTATTAACTCATTGACACGCCTTGACTGAAGTAATGCCACCATCTGGAATGGAGAAATGGAAATGAAATATGGAAATCAGGTTGCCAAGCTATTTATTCAACGGTGTGCTTGTTGGTATCTTTCAAAATTTAACGAAACTGGATAGGTTCAAAATAAAAAAAAGCAGTGTGAAAATCCGGTACATAATGAAGTTCTAGAGGTAGTGTTTAAATATGTTAAATATTGTTATGTTGGTAATGTCCAGACAAAAATTTGTGTTGGTAATGATGTGAAAACAAATAATACAAATAAAAACGTACTTTGGTTGAGTAGAAAAATATAGAATATGTTAGTCATTTGACGAAACGAAAGCAATTAATTGAAAATGAGTAAGGAAAACTAAATATTCGTAACAGGTAGCAGTATAGGAACAAATTGCGATAGACAGTACTCTTAGTACAAGAAAATTGGCAACTGCTTCTGAAGTCAGTCGTACAAGTGCCCGTCAAATAATAAAAAAAAGTACAAGTTCCATCTGTAATGCAAGTTCCATGATTAATGCAAGAACTCAGTCGCATGCAATTTTATGAATTTATGAGTGAAATTGTGTTGGAAAATTGTTACTTCCAGTGAGTAGAAATAATGCAGTAATGTTCTTCCTTCACACATTACAAACTCTACCAGCACAAGGACCTCCAAGCGTAAATTCAAACACCTACTGCAAATTACGTCTTCCATAACTCACAAGTGTTTTGTCACTAATTTTTATAGCTCAATAAAAAAAAACGAATAAATTCACCAACAAGGGAATTGATAACCATATAAATTTTAGAAAATGTATAATTTTTTATGAAATAAAAATCATTTATCAATTCATTTAATGTGTTTCTTTTGGACGGGGGCAATTTTTTTTGGCGGTGTAGTTAATCGCCACAATTGTCGTTAGTGGCGTTGTTAGTTTGAAGAACAAATCTGTATAAATTGAAGAAGAAAGGAGCTATCAACAAGACGGTGTTACTCTACGTTACTCATACATTGCGCGAAATTATTTAGATGTAGAACGAAAAGGTGAGAATGGCCTTCTCGGTCATCTGATTTGAGTCCTTTATATTTTTTGTGGAGACATATTAAAACGTACTCCACCTGACTGATTGGAAGATCTGCGACAACTATTCATAAATGTATATGAAGTGACACCGCAAGTGATCCAAAATGTGAAATAACTTTGAATATAACCTGTATATCATTTTATGGAGGTTGGCAGACATTTCCAGCATCAACCTGATTGATACGGTTAGTTCTTCAGGAAAATATATTCAGTTTCCACACTTTTCGAGTGAACTGTTTTATAAAACAGAAGAGGCAGTGAAAAGCTTTGCCAATGAGATATCACTTGACACCTCCATGCTTATTTGAAACCATTTGAAGGTTGAAACTCCCATTCAGATGGTTGAAGGTTTTGCGAATAGTTTTGATTTGGACACTTGTCTTCCTTAAAAAAAATGTTTTTGCCTTGCAAACTCAGCCCTGCAACTCTACATTTTCTTGAATATATATTTAGTTCATTCTCATTTACTCACTTATATTGTTTCTTACCTTGAGGCATGTGATTGTTGGGAGGAACTTGCCCCACTACTTGTTTATTATTCAACTGCTGCTGTACCATAAAGTGCTGAAGCGGAATTTGCTGGTGTTGTAACTGTTGGTGTTGTAGCTGTTGGTGTTGTAACTGCTGGTGTTGCAACTGCTGGTGTTGTATTTGTTGGTGTGGTAATTGCTGGAGGTGTAATGGCTGGTGTTGTAATTGTGGGGGTTGGAATTGTTGGGGATGTAGTTGTTCGGGTAACGGGTGCTGTTGGTGTGATTGAGGCTGTACCAAGGGTGGGGGATCTTTGGTGAGGTTGGAACCATTGTTGGATTCTTGCTTGAGTGTTTTGTTCGTCCCTACAAATGAAGTATTATCAAAATGACCATGAATGAATTCAAAGCTTGAAGTTGCAACTAATTCACAGCTTGTCAAATCTAGGAAGAGACTTGAGAATTATCTGTCTCTCTCGCTCTCATAGTCTTCTATCGAACGCACAACTAGTGGGCGGAACCATAACGGAATTCAGAAAGTTCTTCCTACATTTGACATGCTGTACCTATAAGTTTGTCAGTTTCTTTGCTCTTCTCGTCCACAGCCTTTGTAGCGGCCAATTTTGCTTCCCAAAGTTGCTTCAGCTCTTGCAAAATGGCATCATCAACTCCATCTTCAACGAAATGTTCTCTCGTATTTGAAATAACATCATTTATAACTTCCTGATAAGTTTTGAACTGTAAGAAAAAGGAAACGTTTTAAAAATCATATTCAGACAATCAAATCAGCTTGGCGAAAAACAATATACAAAAAAATCTGCTACCTCGAATTAGTACTGATATTTGATTGAAAACTGAAACATTTCTGATTCATTCTCGATAGGGCAAAACTGAAGCCTCTGGCGTAGAATAAATCCAAAACAAGCACTTTACCCAAACACCAGAACTGTAATACACGTTTCGACGCGTGTTTCACCAACCATGTTGGCGTCTTCTGAAGATGAAGTATATATTCTAGTTTGAAAATCAGTCGTATATTTTTTTCCGTTCAATGAACACTGGCTACATTCCTATGTGATTGCGGAATGAGCTACAACATAGTGAACACTGATTAATGATCCATTGTTCAGGGTAAACTTTATCTGTGAATAGCGCGAAATGTTTGGTTCAATTGGGTGCCAGAGTAGGAAGAGTGGCTATGCCACACGAGTTGTTTTTTTTTTCTTGGTTTTAATGTTCTGTATTGTGCTGCCAGCTGTGGGCCATAATACGAGCTCCTTGCCAAAAGTTGATTTTATGGCATAGCCTCTCCTCTTACTGAGGCACTCAGTTCACTGCACTCATAATTGATTTGTTCTGATCAAGTGAAATTTCGTGCCATGGAATGTATACTTCAAGCTTACTGGAATTTTGAAATTTCCCATTTTCACGAAAGAAAAGAAGAGGTTCCAGTACACTCCCTTGTGTCTAAATCTACCTCTCCACATTTTTCTGGAGAGAGAGGCTAGATGGACTGCATATAGACTTGTGCACATTGCCAATTGCACAAATCAATTTGATGTAGAGTGCAACAGACTGTTGGTAGGCACTGGAAGTCACAGCATTCTGGAAATGACCTCTGACTTTATGCCTCCAACTGTCAACTACGAACTGTCTTATAAAGTACTGTTCCCGAGTAGAGAGGACTGGATCCTCCGGGAGAGGGAAATATTAAGAGCAGATAGTTGTTGGTTCACAGATGGATCAAAACCACCTACCGGTTCTGGTGCAGGTGTTTTCAGTCGCAGACCCAGAACAGAAATATCAACCTGCCTAGAAACCTATGCAACTATATTTCAAACTGAAATTTACGCTATTGAATTGTGTGCGGAGAGATTGGAAGAATTTAACCTCATACACAAGTATGCAACGTCTAAATTGGTAGCAAAATGCCAAAAACGACTCTCCTCGATAGGAAGACTTAACAGATTGTTTCTGGTCTGGATTCTTGGCCATACCGGCCTGTAAGCCAATGAGGCTGCTGACTCCCTTACAAAGGAGGGTTCTGCAAGCAGCTTCATCGGACCGGAACCTGTCATTGGCATCGCTTAGGGCTTTGCCAAACAAATATTGAACACCTGGATGGCAAAAAGATTTATGGACTTCTGACAGAATCTTCCAGAATTGGCTCACTCCAAAGCGTTTATTCATCCTTCGATGCTTGATATCAAACAGTTGTTGGACTACAGTAGGGATGAACTACGAAGTCTAACAAGCCTTCTTACAGGTCACTGTAATTTGAGTCATCATGAAAAAAAAGCGATTTATTTCCAATAGGTGTACACATTTACAGGAAATGCTATTATTACAGAGTATATATGGAATAAATATTAAAAATAATGGAATATAAAAATGTATAAAAGTAAATGCTAAAACAAAGTATATATAAAATATTCGTATAAGTAAAATTTCAAAAGAGTAATGAAAAATTGAGTATATAATACAAAAAGTTACAAATCATGCAATTTAACAGTACTGACACAAAAGTTATTTATAGTATTATTAAAAGTGATTGTGGATACAAGATACCAAGTCGAAATGAATATCGCAATGTTCACAGATTTTATTGAAGCTATTGCACATAAAATTCAATAGTGATCGTAGCATAACATTTGTGCGTGATGCTTCGCAATAGAATTTTAGATTGTGTCGACCTTCACTTCTTGGTACTAAGAAATTGATCTCGGGTAAAAGAACCGTACTGTCAATATTGTTGTTTAGTAATTTATGCAGTAATTTTATACCAAGGATAACTCTCCTATTTTCCAAAGAAGTCATATCAAATCGTGTCAACAATATTTTATGATCGATGCCTCTCGTGGGGTATTGACCATCAACTTTTAGACATAAGTATTTCAGGAACTTCCTTTGCACGCTCTCAATTGATGTTTTTTGGTAGTCGTAAACTGGATTCCATAACACAGAGCCATACTCTATCTTAGATCTGGCATACGCAAAATATAGCAATTTTAAGGTGGCAATACTTTTGAAGTTTTTGCCATTTCTGTAAATGAATCCAAGCATCCTATTTGCATCAGCAGTCATATTCCTTATACGTGTTGTAAATGTTAATTGTAGTTTGTTGATTGAATAATCGTACATTAAAGTTCGCTTTTTTGTCGTATATGATACTATTTTACATTTGGATACGTTCAGTTGTAGACGATTATTATTACACCAAACTTTGATTACATCTAATTCATGTTGTACATGTTTGCAGTCAGTAATGTCATCGATTTTATAATAAAGTTTCAGTTCGTCTGCAAATAGTAGGCTAGAAATATTCAAAGAGGTTGCCAAGTCATCAATAAAAATTAAGAATGAAAGAGGGCCAAGATTAGAACCTTGTGGTACCCCAGATGTAACTACGTACTGGGCCGATTTGACAGATTCATATTCGACGAATTGTTTTCGGTTAACTAGATATGATTCAATTAGAGTAAGCAGTTGGTTAGAGAGTTAATAATAATATGTTTATTATCGCATACACTGATATACATTACATATGGTGCTATCGAAAATAAACAAGATAAGCACAGAAGCCATAGAAATCTATAGCTATGGTAATGGTCTATTTGATCGAAGGTTTTTTGAAATTCTAAATAAACAACATCGACTTGTTTTTGCTTGTCCAGGTACGTACAGAGATATTGATTTAAACATGCTAGATATGTCATACATGATCTTTGTTGTACGAAACCATGCTGAGTAGGAGAAATAACTTTTTGAATATGGGAGTACATAACATTTTGCACACATATCTCGAAGAGTTCAGAAAAGTTACATAAAATTGAAATTGACCTGTAGTTTGTGATATCGCTAGAGTCGCCTTTTTTTTAATATCGGACAAATTCGAAATTTTATAAAGGGAAGGAATATGCCCATATGCAGAGATTTGGACTGTCGGAAGACATTGTGTGTCGCCACTGAGAACCGAATCTGGTTTTTAGAGTTCGGCAGAACTCTACCACTATATATACCACTACAATACCACTACATCTGACCCGAAAGACCACTCACCATACAAACTAATTGGCTTCATTAAGAAGCTGGGTTTATTTGATCGAGTGTGAATAGGGTGAGCCACAATAAACCCTTGCGGGTTGCGGTGGAGATCAAATAGACCCACTCACTTTGGACCTAACCTAACACTTCCTTGTGAGATTCGTAAATCAAATGTTCCACCTTTGAACAGTTCTGTCCCAATTTCAACAAGACAGTTTCACTTTTTTATAAAGATATCACCACCACTCGAATATCCATATCCAATACATCCAACTTTTTTGCAACATGTGTGGATTAGGATTACAAAGATCCAAGGCACAGAAAAAATAGAAAAATATATGAGTGCCTTCCTCCCATGCTTCTACGTCCAGGTGCGATATTTATGTCAAATTTTCCGTTACTATATCCTTCTTTTAAACAATCGGAAATTGCAAATGGAAACAAACTTATCATACCCATAATATGCTAATTATAAATAATGTCTTGTTCGCACAGTACGCTTTGTGGTGTGATAAGCTTTATGGAAAAGTGGTATTTGAATGTTATCAAATTTTTTACTGTATAACATAGTTCTTTATGTAAACATTATTTGAATTGTAATAATATAAATAATTTCTGAAGAATGCCAGAATTGTAATATCAGAGATATGTGAAATATTTCTGATACAATTCTTGAAACTATCTTTTTTATCAAAGAATCGTGAAGAAAGCAAGTTGTCTTCAGCCAAAAATGTCTAAAAAGTAGTTTACTGCTTTTTAGGATGAGCCCACCAGTTGTATTCATCATTCTTCAGTCTCACAAGGTGTTCCTAGATAGGTAAATAGTTTAGGTAATGAATTTATTATGTATATCAGTTAGTAATAGTCATAATGATTCAAATTAATATAGAAGCACGACACAGAATTTGTACAAGCAGTACTGTGACCTGAGGAGGATATCGTATAGCGAAACACGTGTCGTGCTTTTGAAAACCTTCAAATAGAAATTTCACATCAAAGTGTGACTTTTGAATACGTTATAATGGATTTTCCTCAAGTATCGGTGGTCAGTTATATCATATTTTCGAGAATATTAAAAATACTCCTGTATGAAACTTATTAGTGCAATTTTATTTTCCTGGAAAGGATTTATACAAAAATGCACTATCTCTAGTGGTGGTTTTTCCTCTTCAAATAATACATTTACGGCGGAGGTTCTGCTTAAGGATTATTATTATTACTGCTTTTACTAATCTTGCAAATATAATATCGAAAAACGCAGAATATAAAGGAAAAATGAATGAGAAAAAAAAAGGAAGATCTTCGATCATCAATTTCTAATCTGTTGTTAATATATAGGTATATTTTTGGTGGAAAACAAAAAATATTTTATTTAAAATTTCAAGTTCGATCTAGATTGTTTTTGCATCCATGTTGCAATTTCAAACTACCGAGAAAAACTATTCAAAATATCCACCTTTGTTGCTGATAACAAACTGATTGTTGATTTTATCGATGAGTGAAATGTATACATTTGAAAAGTTATAGAAATATTCTTTATTTGAAGGTCACATGAGAAATGAATCGAATATCTCTTTAATACAAATATTACAATTCTAGTAGCTTTCCAAGTGATATCATCTTATTGAAACAAAGTGATGACAAAAAACAAAGTTCCAATTACCTTTTGCAGTCTATTTAGAAAAAGTTGAGTT